ACACACACACACACACACACACACACACACACACACACACACACACAAGAGAGACGTATGTTCCATAACCAGACTCACAGAGGCTCTACTCTCCAGACGGCTGAACGCTCTCAAACACTCCGGCCTCCTTCATGGAGTTGAACTCTTTGACGGCGTCGTACTGCTTGTAGAAGTCGGCGTAGGCTTGTTTCCTCGGCTCCGTCACCCCGTACTGAAGGAAACAACACACAGCGCTTTAGTTCAACACTTAAAACAAGAGACGCCTGTCTAAAGAGAACATGTTAGAATGAATCTTTATATTCTGCCTTAAATACCAGATGGTGATATTAATCTTTCAGTATTTTAAGATTCCATTCATAAAGCTGCTAGTTTCAGGATCTACTGCAGTCCGCTGAGCACATTAAAGGAAGTGGAACAGATTGTGGTGTAAAAGTGAAGTGTGGAGAAGCTTAAAGAGATTTTAGAATTGAAAACATTTTATCAACTGAGTGCAATCCTGTAAACACACAAAGGCAAAAAGTTACAATTATTCATGCTGAAATTACACAAATAAACATTTCACTACAAAGTTTTATTTAGAAAAATGTCTTTTCTTTTTATTCCTGTCGTTCTTTTAAAGCGTCACAGAGGACGATGAGCAGCCGATTCATCATCTCTACGATTCCTCCACATATGTGAATAATAATAACATAATGTGAATAGAAATGCAGCTGGCATGAACGTTTCCTTCCTGTCGACTATATTCAACATCATTTCCAGTAAATATCACGACAGTTAAAGAGTGTTTCCTGTTTAAAGGTACGACTCCCCTGTACAGTGATCTGCAGCTGACAGCTGATTGGACGAGGTTGGTTTACATGACGCAACGCTTAGCTGTCAGCACTCTGACATCATCGCCCGGTGCAACACGCTACATCTTCAGACCAAACACTCCAGTCTGAACTGAGGGCCAGATGTTGAGATGTGAAGAGATTGTTTATTATAAAGTTCACCGAGATCGTTATGATGTGAAGTTAACAAAAGAGAAGAAGAAAGTTAACTCCAGCCACTCTTTCATTTTCATAAATTTTTCTAAAATCAAGCACTTTCTTTTAAATATGGAAGTTTTTCAAAAGTTATTTTGTATGCATTTTAATTTTAGATGGAGCTATTATTTCACTTGAAATGAGAGAACATTTATGTATTTCTATGTAATATTTATAATCCATACAGTTAAATGTGAAAAGTAATAATAATCGATGTGTACTTTCTTTATTTGATTTGACAGTTGACTACACAGAGACGTTACTACTAGGCTTCTTGAACATATATACGGCACTGAATAGCGCAGGTTAGATACTATTGTAATGTTCTGGACCTTTAGTAAAGCTCATTGAACACCCTGCTGTAGACTGACGGTGGTTCTCTCACCTTGAAGGCGATGGCCGCCACCAGAGACAGAGCGAAAGCGATCGGCAGATGAAGCCTCAGACGTTTCCCCAGCAGACCTCTCATCACCGGCTTAGGCAGAGACATGATGATCACCTGGAGGAGAGAAATAAAGGATTCAAATATAACGCTCGGTTTGTGGAGCGATCTGTGCAGACGTGACGACACAACACACCGTAGAAGAAGACCGACACAAACTATTCAGTCTGAATGAAGACGCAGTGAAATAAACGTAAAGGCGAAGAGAGGTTTAAACGTCGCATCAATCAATACCGGACCTTTAATATCTATACGTGGACGTTTTTAACCTGATAACGTATGAGCTGATAGTGTTCTATTGTATGTTCTTCACCATCATGTGTACAATAATTACAGTGAAGATGGAGATCTCAGGCTTTCTCAAACAGAGCTCATTAAATATGTATATGCAAATAAAAATGAAGCAATAATGTCAGGTAATTAGAACCTGAGACATAAAATAGAGCAGCTTTTAAACGTTAATAAAATAAATATAAATATTAAATCATGATATGTGTGCAGGTATGAACAAGTAAACAGGTGGAGCCAGAGAGCAGCACAGTTAGTATGTGAAGTACCATGAAGTATTAATATTAATATTTAATATTCCGGCTCTGTTAAACACTGAACATTAAGTTTTATACATCAGAGGGAAAAAGATGTGAAACTAGATCTCATCTCAAAAATGACAAATAATGTAAATAAAATGTTGAAGTTACTGAAGGAGACGTGAGCTGAACAAAATAAACATATTAATCATAATTAACATAAGAGAGGAAGACGAAGACGAAGAAATCAACTCTTAATACCTTTAATTTACTTTATTCTTAAAATGTCTGTATATAATGTCTCCGGTAAGACTTTGTACTATATGATATATATACACACACACAAATGTGATGTATACAATATATATATACATAAACATATAAAAGTTCATAGCGTATGAGCATATTCATTGCAGTCTTATTTCTGTTATTACTGCTCATTCTGTATACATCTAGCATATTCATATATATCTCCACTGTTTATTATTGTTATTATATGTATTAGTACCTCTAGATGTTTGTACGTTACTTCTTTTGACACTTCTGGTTCGCTGCTGAACTGCACGTCTTTGTCTCAGTGTTTGAACTCAATAAAGTTGAATCTAAAGAGCAGGTTGTTTGTTGAAGTCTGGTGAGTTTTAAAGTTAGTCCGGCACATTCTGACGTCTCCTGTATTCACATATATAATAATAACTTTATTTATTATTATTATTATTAATGAGACATTTAAAGACACTCAGAGACAGAAAATCCTTCTGACTGATCATTTTATCATATCTACTTATGATTCAAAGATTAAGTAATGTGGTTTAAACTGATTATTATTATACAACATGATGGATGATATTACCCATATGATGACTTGATACTGAAGACAATGACGTCAGAGGACAGTGTGAGGGACACTTTGTCCTCTGAGAACCACCACGTCCCTCACGTGCTCCAGACACCGCTGACTATGGAGTCTGTGTTTCACACTTTATGTTCCTGCTTGATTAAGGACCGTCAGGTGGACGTTAGCTAAGCTCAGTGTAAAGCTAACAGATGTAGCATAGCTAGGGTCAAAGCAGGACGAATTATGTCAATAAAGAGCTTCATCTCTTCGTAGTATAACATGTTTACTCTTTAACAAACAATAACGAGACAACACAACTAATATCAATAATATCTAAAGAATAGAATATAGTTTAAAAGGGTGATTAGCTTTCTGTCAGCATTTAGCTAACGATGAGCTAACGTTAGCTCGATACAGCTACGTTTCCAGAGGAGATCAGCATAATTACAGATACATGGTTAAATACAGGAGTCATCATATGTTATATGTGAATACAGTGCACACAGTTAAATAGTTTAATTTGAGATATATATAGAATAAATACTCACAGGTTTGGACTCACGACCTTCACAGAAGACGCTAACTGCTATGTTTCTCAACCGGAAGAGGTTCTCTACTGGAGCCACGAAGGGACAAAATTAAGCCCCGCGGGGGGAAAAAAGCGAAGTCAAGAGCACGTGAGGTCATTGAAAGCGAAGAAGAGACGAGATTCAAATCTTCAAGTTACTGAAGTTAAAGTATGAATATTCAGAGTAACACGAACAGACTAGATGATGTATACATATGGAATGAAACACAATTCTCCAAATAACTATGTTTCAGAGGTGGAGCTGATTTTAATTAATTTATAGACTAAACTACCATGAAGCTCTTGGATTTCCCAAAAAAA